CCCCGGGCTCCTGAGCTCCGGCCGGGTCGGGTCGGGCCGGCGCGGCAAGTTTTATGGTCAGACTCAGCCAGCAAGGGGGTTCCCAGTTGAAGACCTCGGAGGAAGGAGCCTTTACAGCGTGCTGCGAAATTGAAGGAAGCTGGGCAAGCCTGCAACGCACACGTTATGAGAAAACGGGAAAGCAACGTAGATATGTTTATAAAGTGATAAATAGATAAGAGACACACGTGGGCAGTTGTTCTGGATCCGGAAAGTTACAGTCGATTATATAGTGTTTGAAATATCTTGAAATGTATGGATTCAAAAACTCATTTTAAAAAAAAGCTTCAAAGGAATTCGGAAAAGCACGTTTCGCTATCCTTATTACCGACTACGCAGCTCTTCTTTGTACACAAGAAGTCTAGTTTTAAAAGGAAAGGCTGAGCTAGCGCTTTCAAAAACGGGCTTCCTTTAACGTGAAGTGCGTTTTCAAAATAGGGAATTTCAAAAGGGAAAAACGTTTAAGTTGCTTTTAAGCCACGTTTTGGAAACAAATAATTGCAATCCACTTAATAAACTGTTTTCCTTTGTGAGGCATGTGGAAGAAATATTTCTGGCCAACGTCACAGTTGTTTTTTTTTAAATGAAGATTTCCAACAAGTGCTTGCGAGTCTTGTCGACAAGACCAAAGTCATCGTGCGTGAAAGGCCAAGAAGAAATAATTTCAATCCTGTGGTCCAAACCTTTGTAGGGCAAGAGAGTAATTTCGACTTAGGTTTATGATAGACTTTGCGGAAATTCCTTCTAAAATACTCATTACTAGTCTGTGTGTTATGAAGCACTGTTTCCCAAGGTAGATTTTAAAAAATCAATTAGAATTGATCTTTAATGGAATATTATATTTACACGTCGTCATGAAAACATTTGACAGAGTTTTGAATTACAAGAAAGAAGTTAACAGATGATGCTCATAAATAGCATCTGTTTGAAAAGACCGCTTAAGAGTCAGTTAAAGGTAGTGATGGTTGTATTTTTGCATTTGAAATGCTATAGAAGTTGCTTGCATTTTAACACTTTCATTTTGCGGGTCTTCTTTCCAAACTTGCATTTCCTCATGGAAATCATTCAGTTATTTCGAGATACAGGGAGAAATTCTTATGTAAGAAATCATTTGAGGCGTAACTATGGAAAGGTTTGAACAGAAAAAAAAATCGGTGTTGAAAATCAAGTATTTTCAATCTATTCATTCGTTTCACACTCATCCTCCCACAGTTCCTCCATCAATTTACATTTTTTATTTATAAGTCTTTGAATATTTAGAATAGCTTTACATGTTTATCTGTTATGTAGTTGAGAGTAAAAGGTGAATCGTTTTATATCATTCACTGTTTCAGACATTTTTTGTTTCATTTAAAGTAAAAATATGCTTAGGAGTCATGATATTCTTGTGAGAAAAACAACAAATGGATGGAAAAAGGGCATGAATGGGGGTGGGGATGGAGAGGGACAAGTAGCATTCCTGGTCAGTCTTTGTGATACCTTTCTTTAATTTTATGTCATTATATTTTCCACTTCTGCTTGTACCAACGATCATTGCTTTTTTAATTGGGGTAAAGTGCCACCATATAAAAATTACCTACCTTCTGGCTCTCAAGCGCCGCAGTAAAATAAGGCTGACAAAAAGTGATCCGAGGCTTGTGTGTTTAATTCGTCAGGAATGTTAAGCTTCATAAGATTCACCCTATGGGGTCATGTTGGTCCTTGGCACTGTTACTGTACAGTTTCAAGAGGTAAATATGCACATTATAGATTTAAAAAACCTAAGATGTACTAGACAAACAGTTTATTAATCGAAGGAATAAAAAATGAATTTGTCAACCTCATTCTTTCTGGGACACAATGCACTTAATTAACATATTCTTGGGCTTGTTTCTGGATTTGGTAAGCAGTGGCCCCTTTTGGAGAGGAAAACATTTAAATCTTAAAAAGTGATCTTCTTTGGTCCAAATAGTATTTATAAATTCAGTTTAATTTCTTCTTTTTTTTCAGTCTAAGATATGTTGCATTTCTTTCAAGGTTGTCTTCCATTTCAAAAACTGATTTTCCTCTTTTCCACGTCCAGAATCTTTTCACTTAGATAATCTTACGTAGCATATAAACAGACACCTAAATATGTCACTTTAATCACACTTTAATTATAACAGAGATGCAGATCTTCAGTGTCAGTAAAAAATGAGAACATGGACCTTACAATACACACTGTATTGATGATACTCTGAAAAGTCAAAACATAACACCTTTCAGTATTGCTGCATCATGGAAAAAAAAAGTTCAACTCTGAATCGTTACGAGGTTTATGTAACACCTAGAATACCTAAAGGCATCTTTTAGATAGCATTTTTATATTGATAATTACATGGTGTTTTACTCAAAAAATGTAAATACAGCCATTTGATATCAATTTTTATAGCAAAACAAATAGCTCTGAGGCCAAACACAGTTAACCAAACCAAACCTTTTACATATTAGACCTTGATTCTTAAAAAGATTTTTATTTAGATTATACACAATTTAAATTTCAGAATTATCTACCAAACTTTCAGAAAATTAAGTGTATCTAACAACAATATTAATTATAATTGATTCTAAGTTGGAGCCTGTTTTGTAATAAAATGATGACTTTTACATGAAAAGGTGGCAAACATTTGAGGGCTATTTAGAATAGCCAATTCTAAACTATCTGGTAAATAAAAACTGATATTAATTTCAACTACTGAAAATCTTCAGAGAAACCAATTCACCTGAAAATTTTTGTTAATCATTACTTACAAATTTTAGTTCAATTGTACATACAAAATAAAATCTTGCTTTACTTTGAAGAATAAAACTCAGAGTGTAGTTAGCTTTTAAACACCAATTTAGGACATTAAACAAACATTTACTCTGGACCTACTACGTGCAAGACACTTGCTAGGTGTGATGGTGAGTAAAAACTAATCACCTAGTAAGATTTACAAGTTTCATTAATTAGATTTTTGAAAAAGCTGTTAACAGAATCTCAATTCAAAACCTAATTGCAAAGAATATCTTGACATGAAATTTCAAACAGTCCTCCGTGATATAGGTGCCATGGTGGTTTTGCATCTATAAAGACACAATACTCATTTATGGTGACATAAATAACAACGCTAGTTTCAGAAACACTTCAGTATATTAATCGTACTAGCATAAATATATGGCTCATAATAAACTTTTAATGTAAAAGGTAAAAACTCTTGGGTACCAAATGAGCAAAACAAAAAACAGAGATTCCTTTATGTAAAAGAGGATATATCTGAAAGTCTGCACAGATCATAAGAGAGTGTCTTTTTGAGTTTTCTAACTAATTTATTTAGAGACAAGATGATAGATTTCAATGAGGTTTAGCAGATGCAGGAATTCTAATTGCTTTTTGTTTAAAAAACTTAGTCGCAGAGCCAATATAGAATTTTACACACTATGGAAGTCAAGAATCTGAGTTCAGGAAAGTGTATCTAGCCTCAGCATTACAGAAGTATACCTCTTATGGATGTAGAAATAGACCTCAGTTTCTACACCCCATTGTAGAAATTTATATACCTTGACAATGGGTACAATAGAATAAATATAATATGCACAAATAGAAGGCAAATACAACTTTAATTTACAAAGGAGATAAATATGAATAGTACTAACCTCTGAACTGAATATGGTTTTAAATATTTCTTTCATAATACCTACTTATGTAAATATGGAAAAGCAAATACAGAAATTTGGTGCCTACCTTAAAGAATAAAGAAAATTATCGGAAGATATATTACCCATAGAGCAAAAATACATCTTCCCATTATAGTAGGGTTAGAGGTTACATCATAAAATACTTTTACTTGAGTTTTTTGTGGTTTCCCTCAGATGATTAGTTTGGAGAAACAGACGGGCTGGTACTGAGTTAGCTGCTCTTATGTGAAGCAATATTTAGAGACAATAGGGTTTCATTTTATCCTAGAGGTACTACATATACTTTTTTGAAGGATATTTTGAGAATATAAAATATTTTGAGAATATAAAATTTTAGGGTAACATTTTATGACTGAAATTGTTCTTTTTCACAGTTATTTTATAACTCCTATAGTAATTTATTTTCATATTGCTAAGTATTTTAAAAAGCATACTTGCACTTTAACAACTCTGCCAATGTAATTACAAGTTTTATCCATTTTGAGGTAGGAAAATTAGCATATTCAGCCAATTGTTACATATATGACTATATATATATGTCTCACAAAGGACAAATACAACTTTTTCATTGCTATATTCCCCATATCCAAAACAGTCCCTAGTACACAGTAAATGTTCAATAAATATTTACTGAATGAATAATTAATTGCATATTTGAACTGTTTTACTGTTTTATATTGTCTGCTTTTCTTCCTTTTCACTTAACATTTTATAGAAATACACAAAATATTATACTTCAGATATGTAAGAAAAAGTTTGATATCTGGTACATGACTTAAAATGAAAATGAGTTATTTACACGCATGTTTTTTCATATACTTTTCATACTCAACGTATGAAACAACATACGTTATTTACACGCATGTTTTTTCATATACTTTTCATACTCAACGTATGTTAAAATTTGTTTTGAATAATTTGAATTATATTTTGTGAACACTTATGTATACATCTTTAACAAAATTTGTTTCAGATAGTATTGTTTATATACAGGCCTGTTATGAAATAATATATTTTCCCTATCTTTAAAAATTTCTGAAACCTCTTACAAATGATAAATTTTTTTGTTTTGTTTAGGAAATAGCAAGTGTTTACTTAAATTTGTTTTAACTGTTAAAGAATAGGGCAAAGTACCCATCCTTCTTTATATACAAATTCATTCCTTCACAAGAACTAAGCTCCAGTGCATTAAAAATAAAACAAATGTATTTTTAAATAATTTAATGCATTAAGGCTTGGCTGCAGTGTTTGGGAGGGGAAGTTTCACACTGATTTTTAACTCAAAATTGCTCTATAGTAAGAGTCTGAACAGGACTTGGATATTGAGCTGGTGTCCTTTGTATAAGGGTGAAGATAAAATATATGGTTAAGATACACAAAACAGTATAGTTTTGTTTGAAGGCCGTTTTAGTTTTATACATTTTTAAGGCAGTTAAAAAATATAATTATTATATATCCAGAAATGTATTGTTGTCCCATCCCAAAAAAGAATTCACATTATGTAGTCTTATAGTCACCTTTTCTAAATGCACTATGTGAATTCTCATTGTTTTAGTGTACGTTTTAATTGCCATTACTTTGTATATTTCAGCTTTTAAAACATCTGAATTTGCTATATATGCCCTCATTGTGCTGTATACCTATTATTACTCTTGCACAGATTTCTAGCAATTTGAAATAGAAAAACAGTCATGATACCTTTTCTTCCCCCCTTTATCAGAAGAACATTTAGAAGGCTTTTAAAGCCCAAACCATTATATTATCTTTTGGTGACCGACTAGGAGAACTTGGATTCTCTATGCTTTAGCACTGCAAAAGTGCATCTTCCAGATCAGCACATTTATAACGCGAATTCCTAAGAACCATTTTGTACCTGCAACGTATTAATCAAAAGTCATGAATTCGCCTTTTAACTGGGCTTGTCATTTAAACAATCTATACATAATTCTGATTTCATGCTAAACTTTTCTAATTAGACTTTTTTTGCTTAAACATCAATATTGGGCTTATACGGATGCATAAGGAACAGGGCGACAGTGGAAGATTTTAGTTTAAAACTGCTCAGTATCCAGCTAATTAATCTATGCAGATAGGCCTAATCCATTTTCCATTTGTTTGTGAGGTGGGAGCTCTCATCTTTCTGCCACTTTTAAATGACCTCACATTTCCAAGTGTAAATTTGGAGAAAAGACCCGGATCAGAGGAATCCTCCATCATAACTGGACGCCACTGTCTGATGGCGTTAATTATCTTTTAGCGACTGACTAGGAGGGCTAGAGTTCCTTCTTCCTTTTGGTGTAGGACAACTGCATTTTCCAGATCATCATACTATATTGCTAATTCCTGATAAACAACCATTTGTCCTGCACAGCGAGCTGAGGGGCTCCTTGGCGTTCCCTCTCCGAGTGCAGCCCCAACCCGGGCTTTTGACCTTCAGCCTGTGATGCACTTTCGTTTGCCACTGGGGCCCATGTAGTGCGTAAATGGGCGGCAGATTTGTAGGACTTCCAGCGGGAGAACTTTGGGAAGAGTCCAGGACGTGAATTTAATGGGTGGAGAGGCTGCGGCAGCCCTGTGAAGTTAGCGCGGCCAACTGCAGGAAGCCATGCTTCATTACACCCTTCATGGGAGCTGGCACACTCGCCCCACCCTCGTTACCCACGGGCCAGTCCTGGAGGAAAAGACCGGCAGGTAGGTTCCCAGGGCAGGGAGATGATGCCCCCGGGGAGTGCCCTCTGGCGATTCTGAGAAAACCCCTTCCCAGCCCTGGTCGTCCGCCTCCCCCGCCACCTCCCAGGCCTCTTCCCGACGAGCACACGCG